CTGCCAGGCTTGCTTGTTCTTCCTGGAGCCTGCGGGTGCTTCCACTCTTCCCCGGCGTGTTCACCCAGAGGCCTCCGTTCTTCTCTGCTTGCCTGACTCAGAGTCTTAACTTGTACGCACACGTCAGGGGACTGGATTTACCCCGGCCGGGTGGGGTGCCTTGGCCTGCTCACGGCGAGGTCAGCAGGTGGAAACCATGAGACGCTCCGAGGGAAAGACGGGCTTTCCACTCCCATACGGAGCTGCCGCCTGGCAGTCCTGCCGCGTCCTGTAGGGTCGCCAGGAGTCGGCATGGACTCGAGGGCAGTGACTTTGGTTTGGAGTTTCGCATCAGGTGCGCCTCAGTCCTCAGAGGGACCTTTTTGCTCTTTGACACGTGACCCGGGGCCCTGTGCGGCCCATCTGCCCCACGCAGAATGCCTGAGGCTGTGCAGCCCCTGGAAAGTCGGACCAGGCTCCGGTCCGGTCCTTCCGGGAGGAAACCCGTGTCCCTGTTCAGACGGGCTCCGTTGACAAACAGCCTAAGGGGTGGTACTGCCCCTTTCTTCTCGGGGGCTAATTTTAGAGCGAGGTTCTTTCCTGCCCTGGGCCAGTTCTAAGCTGGCGGGAGAGACTGCTGGGCGCCAGGAAATCCTGCCTGGGCCAGGAGATGCACCCGCCCCCCTACCTGGGGGTGGGCCGCCCAAGAGATGGAAGGGATGGAGCCAGTGCCCCAGGGGACAGAGCTGGTGGGGGAGCGGTGTTCCCTGGCTCTCCTGCTGCCTGGAGACGCCAGGGACTGGCTGCGCATGGCCCTGCTGTCCGCCCCCTGGGACTGTGGCTTGAGGACTCTCCCCTGGGGGCATGAAGACCTGCTGGCTGTTCTTGCCTTGCTCTGCAGACCCTCTATCGGCTTTTCACCTGCCTTCACAAGGAGGCTCTCCTCCCTCCTCTGCCTGTGGCTGGGCAGAGTGCTTCCCTGCTGCTGCCGGGAACCCACTGGCACTAGCCCCAGGAAAGGCCGCTGGAGGGCAGGTCGCAGGCCAGGCATCAGCAGGAGCTGGATGTGCACCTGGGCCTCTGGGACCCCTGGCCGGTCGCAGCCCCTCTCCTTTGCCGTTTGGTGGTGCTCAGAAGCACACTGGCCCGAGGACAGCACTTCCAGATGGGGCCACCTGAGGGTCGGTCAGGGCCACCTTGGGCTCACACTGGGCCTTCTCAGGGTACTTCCCGGACCCTTGGACCACACCCTGAGTGGGGTCCCAGGAATGGGGTCTCACTGGGGCCTGGAGCACCTGCTCCAGTTGAGGGTGGAGGTGGGGCTAGCCCTGGCTGTGGATTCCCGTTTCCAAAGCAAACAGCTCCTTCCTGCATAGCCGTGGCAGGGGCGGCAGGTCAGCCTGCAGAGTCGCCGGCCACTCACTTCCTTCCTGCTTCCTCTGTGTGGCCTTGAGGTCACTGTCCCTCTGTCCCGTCTGTGCCAGGGAGCTGCACAGTCATTGCTCTGGCCCTCAGGGCTGAGTGGCATGCCCCCTTTCCAGCTGTGGCCGTCCCTCCTCCCTAAGCTCCCTGACGGACGGTGGGAGCTGGCTGGAAGCCTTGTTTCCTGTGAAGTAACCTGGCAGGGCAGGGCTGCCCCCATGTCCACGGGGGCCTGCCATGCGGGGCCTGCCTCCCACCAGCTGTCTAAAACCCAGAGGGTCCCTGGGGGCTGAACAGCCCGGGGTTCCCTGGAAGCGATTGCTCAGGGACTGGCCCCTGCCGCTGACCCCCGTCTGCCGCCACCACAGGCCCCCTCTGTGAGAGGACGGTCCCTCGGGGTCAGGTAGAGTGGGTGCAGTTGGGCAGCCTGTCGCCTCTGCCCGAGATCTGAGCAGCCCCCTCCCACTGCAGGCTTCGTGCTGGTCATCGGCCTGGTGACCTTCTACAGAATCGGCTCCTACACCAGCCTGTCGTGGTCCTGCTACCTGGACATCGGAGCCTGCCTGCTGGCCACCCTGGCCGCAGCCATCCTCATCTGGGACATCCTGCACCGCAGGGAGGACTGCATGGCTCCCCGCGTCATCGTCATACGCCGCTCCCTGGCCGCCCGCTTCCGCCGTGGGCCTGACAACGAGTATGTGGAATCCCCCTGCTGAGCCTGCCTCGGAGGGAGAGTGCCCTGGGGGACACTGCCACAGAGCTCACCCAGGACGGCTGGACAGCGGGGACAAGAACTGGTGGGGCGGGCGAGGGTCACCAGGGCACACACGTATGCCATATACATAGACGTGTACTGTGCTATGTATGGGGAGATAATATATGTGTGTATGTATGGGGATATATATATGGATGTAAGTATACAGATATATACTCGCATGTCCCCAAGTGTAGGAATATATGTGTTTGTGTGTACGTGTGGAGATATACATATGTGTGTGTGTGTGTATATATATTATGGGGCTATGTGTACCTGAGCTAATTGAGTGTGGGAGTGTATATATGTATGGGGAGATATATATGGGTGTAAGTATACGGATATATACTCGCATATCCCCAAGTGTAGGAATGTGTGTGTGTGTAGTATGGGGCTATATGTACCTGGGCTAATTAAGTGTGGGGATGTATACATATGTATGTTGGGGGTATATAAGTATGCATGCATGTAGAAATACAGTTATGGATGTGTGTAGGTGTGAGGTGTATGTATGTGAGTATGTAAGGGTGGGTATGTGTATATGTGTGTGGGCTATATAATATGTATGTGGGGATATAGACATGGGTGTGTGTACAGTAGGGGTATGTGTACATGAGTGTGGGGTTTGTGCAGACGTACATTTACATGG